GTGAGGGGACATTAATACTTTTTTCACTCTTCCCTCCTCATCTGCCGCACAGAAGATCTTGAAGCCGATTTTCAGCACTCAAAAGGCCTACTCAATGATCAGGAATGCATCCCAGGATCGCACTCTAGAGGCGAAAAACCTGGACCAAGGAGGTTATAGAGGGGCATGAAATAGACTTCAGCTTTGCGCCAGTTCAGCCAACCCCAAGCTTATAGCCTAACTGATGGCATTTATTGCCCCTCGTCCTACTGAAGGCAAGCCAACGCAGCCGGCCGCGACTCCGGATTGTAGGTTCCGCTCAACCACCAATGACCTCTCGACTACCCAAGCCAGCGATGCTCGTAAGGAAAGAGGCCTCGCGTGCCTACAGCGCCCAAAGTAAGTAGAGCTTCCATCGCTATGCTTCGGTGGCAGACGATAAAGGCGTAGTAGTGAATTTCAAACCCAAGTAAAAACTCCGAGGCCCAACTAGGTCAGAAGTGGCGGAGCCTACCGCCAGATGATCCCCAAGCGTTGATCTCGAAATCGAAAAGTACTTCTGAAACCGTACAACCACTGGGAACCTTCAGCTTAACCTCGTCAAAAGCGGCCTCTTCGATTGTGAACACTGCCGTCACCCGACAGCCAAAGCCCTGAAACCGACAACGGCGAACCGAAGAATTCTTCGTACACCAAGTTGGTTATGCCGATTGCGGGCTACTTGCGAGTCCACGCGGGCATGAAAGAAAAGTGATTGTAGTCAAAACACAGGATTCGCCAAATCAGAAACCTTCTAGCTAGCTTCACGACACAGTCCTCTGTGAAAGTAGGCCTCATAGAAGCGCCACCAAAGTGAAGACTTCTTGGTGCTTCCACCTAACGCTCAGGGCCCTATCGAACAAGCCACGCAAAAATGCCCAGGAACCAAACAGACGCACGTTTGCCCCAACAACGAGTCCAGTTGTCTAAAATTGGTATTGAACCAGCTACAAGTGGCAGTGGACAAAATTTTTGCCCACGAGGGAACTATGTCCCCTAAAGACAAACGACCCTGCAAACCGGCCTCTCACGGTGCGAAAAGCGGCGTTCGGAATCACTAAGACAGGCAGCAGACAAGTATGCCTCAGGATCCCATTTGGAGCATTGGACTCAGATCCGGCATGCATCTATTAAACCTGCTAACCTCTGTAGTCGCTCACCCTAGGCTCCTCACCTCAAGACGAAACAGACAGTCTTTAAAATGCTTGTACACAAATTTCACCAGCCTTTTCGACAATGTTTGCCTCGAACAGCCGTCCATAACCAAACCCACAGAGACCTGGATCACACCAGAGGTCTCTGATGCGGAGATCACCTTGGGCAGCCACTGTTATTTTCAGCTGACTCTAAACCAGGGAGGGCTGATGGTGTTGATTTGTACTTACTTGCGGCCCTGCCCACTTAGCTGTCCTCTCCGACAACTCGTACATCTTTTGGCGCTGTACTGTGGATCGAAGTCCTACCATGCGGATCTTATTCTCCTCTTCTCGTCATGGTCTATCGTTGCACTCAGGAGGATGAACACTTCTTCGTAGAAACCCTCGAGCGATTCACCTCCAGCTATCACTTCATTCATATCTTTGTTGTAGATGATTTCAACCTTCAAAAGGCCTCCTGGATTGAATTCCAGCGCGTCGGGTTAAGTAGATTTCAGCAGCGTCTGTGACCAAAGTCGTTCAGTAGAGCGTCTGTACTAAACATGTCGTCGCACCCAAGATAACAGGCGGACCAACTACCATCCCTCCTGGATCTGGTCATCACCAACGAAAGACACTTCGTTGATCAATTGATAATTAACGCTCCAATGGGACATAGCGACAACCGTGTGCTGACCTTTGACTTCATCTGCTAATGGGTCATAATTCCAGAACCTCAAACGTGGTTTCGAAATATCCGCCGTGCAGACTTCCCAAGAGCGCGTACCTTACTTGGTCAGCTTCAACAGGTGCCAGCTTCAATGGAAGATTTATACGATAACAGTGCCCAAAAAGTTCACGAGGCTGACGCGACGTTCGTCACAAAAAACAGCACGCAGTTGGATGGGCTGCAACCAACCTGGAAGGAGTTGGCGTCTTCTGGAAATGAGGTCTCAATCACTTTTCAAAAGGTTGACTATAGGAGACGCAGAAGACGAGCCGGCATTTCGTTCAATGGGGAACTGCTCTAAATCAGAAATCCACCAATCGAACGTAAAAATCAAGTTTCCATTCTAGATCTTGTCCGAAATACAGAATTTGGGTGCTTAAACACATGAGACGTCGCTGCAGAAATAAGCCAACAACGTTTCCCTTGAAGGACAGGAACGGGGAACCCACGAGTGACCCACTAGTGTCCGAGGTCTACAAAGAACACTATGCAGGCCTATTTTTTAGCCGTAGCGTCCTCGTCACATCCACTTTCGTCAAGGCATGATATGGAACGGCTTCTAGCAGACTTCATCTTAACAAAGGAGGACGTCCGTTGCATCAAACCAATCCACTCTACACGTTGGGTCCAGATGAGGCCCATTCAAGGATCCAGAAGGAAACATCGTTTAAGCTGGTAAAACACTTTTACCTGGTGTCTTGTCGGTAGCTCGTGGAAGGCTATCTTACCTCTTCTTGGAAGGGAACGATTGTCACGCCGGTCTACAGGAATAGTGGCCCACCATTACTCCGCTGCTAGAGACTCATTAGCCCCGCTAGCGTGCCGTTCAAAGTGGTGGAACGTATTCTAGAGCCAGCCATCCCAGAGCACCCCGGTACCAACAACTTGATATCGTAACGCAGTTGAAACTTCACTGTATCTGCTTGCACGTCCATCGTATGACCTTGTGTGTGCCTCTCCCGCTGGTAAAACACTTTTACCTGGTGTCTTGTCGGTAGCTCGTGGAAGGAAGGCTATCTTCTTCTTGGAAGGGAACGATTGTCACGCCGGTCTACAGGAATAGTGGCCCACCATTACTCCGCTGCTAGAGACTCATTAGCCCCGCTAGCGTGCCGTTCAAAGTGGTGGAACGTATTCTAGAGCCAGCCATCCCAGAGCACCCCGGTACCAACAACTTGATATCGTAACGCAGTTGAAACTTCACTGTATCTGCTTGCACGTCCATCGTATGACCTTGTGTGTGCCTCTCCCTCCGTATTGCAGGTGCCACGGACGAGCCAACACGAGCCCCGGGCAGGAAAGAGTAGCCCTCTTGTGCACCCCCTGACTGATCTTGATCGGACTTTGTACCCCCGACTTCCGGTTTCGGGTTCGGTTCAATACATGTGTGTTGTTGCCACGCCCCGGTGTTCTTCCCTGTGTCACCCGACTTGTGCAAATGTGGCCGTTTGTTCCTTGTGGATTCCGTAATACCAGCTTCTGCATCTGCACACTTCGGAACCGACGTGTGCCGTCGCTACATTCTCTCGAACGTCGAATACCGCTGACTTCCTGACGTCCCACACTTCAATTTCTTCACTTCACCACGGATTTCCTCCAAACCGTTCTTGTGTGACGAACACGCTCGTATTCATGGACGGCTTAACCCAATTTAAGACTCATATCGGATGTAGTTCTGAGAAGAATACGATCGAGTCTCAAACGCCCCAATGCCCACTCGGGTTTTCCAGGATTCTGCGGAAAATTCCACACTGGATCAAGGCGTTTCTATCAGACAGAAAGTTCTGACCTTCCAGGTGCTATAGCGGGCCCATGGTAACTTTTTGCGGACGAATCCAAATCCTGGAGTTCTAATGCCAACGCCCTCCAAACGGATGTAGACGCTGCAAAGTAGTGGTCGCTGGGTTGGCACCTTACTCTGAATGGCGAAAGGTGCATCCATATGTCATTCAGGGGAAACTTAGCAAACCCTTTCCTCCAGCATAATGAGATTGGACCAGATGACAGCACGAGGAAGGATGTCAAAAATGATGTGGGTATCTGACTCTAACAAGCCTGTCCTTTTCATTGCATAATGGGAAATCAGCTCATAAGGCATTTGCCATTCTATCGATGATTCTGCACATCTCCCCTCTATGAGGCCCACGTCGAGCCGTCTTTGAATGTGCCAACTAAGTTGTCTACTCAGGACGCCAGAGGAACACAGCCCTGCATGAGCGTATCCAATGAACTGCTACAAAAACGTTTGCCGACCTTAAATCCGTGGACTACGAGACACATCTCGAGGTATTTGACCTCTTTCCCCTCTAGCCCATGAGGAGGACCAATTCTTACTTATGCCCTGTTTGAACACAGTTTGAACAAGAGCACAAAAGTGTGCGCTCTGAGCGAGTTTTCATCACTTCGGGTAGTTGGTGCGTGGAATATCCTTCCTCTAACGGTCGTCCACGCTTCATCTAGAACCCAGTTCAAGGCACCACTAGATGCCTTTATGCGGGTCCTCGCAGTGGCAAGATTAATACCCCGCACTGAGAACTTACGGAGCGGTGCTACGCTCTTTTTCACTTGTAACTTTCAGGCGAACAGCAGCCTCTGAGCGAAAAGAACAAAACCGACCTGGGAAACCTGGGCGAAAGCCTCAAACCCGTGTATCAGTCCGTGAATCCCACGGTTGAACTGTCTCAAGAGCCGGCCTTTCATCGACCTTGAGAGCCTCCTACCGCGGTCAGTTTGTCCTAAATGGCTCAGCTGATTCAGTCATTTATTCGTCCAGGAAATAGTGCGCAAAAATGATAACTCTTGGTGATTATGAATATGGAAGCAAACTGCTTGGATCCGGTGCTTTTGCCTTGGTTTATGAAGGTCGCGTCAAGGATGTAATTACCCTATCTTTGTCTAAACTGGCTGCCTTTAGCGACCAAATGAACCGGTGGCAATAAAAATAATGAAGAAAGACGCAAACATGCCGAAGAACAGAACTCTTCTAAGCAAGGAGATCAGCGTTCTGAAGGTGGGTTTTTGCCTGATGTTCTCAGTCTGTAGGACCTCAACCATGAGAATATTGTCCGACTGTTTCACCATGGGGTAAATACGCTTTCTTATCGCATTACTCTCAGGTCTCCAATAATGGTCTATATTTAGTGATGGAGTATTGTAATGGTGGAGACCTTTCCGAATATCTGCGCAGTAGGCATGATTTGCTTGAGTCCATCCTTCTTTCAGTTAAGGACACGCTCCCAGAAGACACAATACGTCACTTCCTTGCTCAGATTGGCTCTGCTATGTATGCAATTAATCGAAAAGGCTTCATGCACAGGGACTTAAAACCGGGCAACATTTTGCTGACATATCCTCAAGATTGTGGCTACTCACTGAAGGATATTCCTGGCCACATGCTCACATTCAAACTAGGTAAGTGCCTACAACATTGCAATCTCTCTCCAGTTACTTCACCCATATTCTTTTACTAAGGTCTGTGTACCTGTTATATACATATGCTTTCATCACTGCTGTTGCAGCAGTACCGTAACTCTTCACCATCCCCGCTGGCAACGCGCTGGAATTTTGAACTACTCTGTCATGTTTGTGTTCGTCAATGGGTCCAAAAGTCTATTATAGGACGTACATATTCAACTTCAGTAGACTAGAGACACTATCCTTGTATGCTGTGACAACGCCATCTAACGACTCCGTGCTTCATTCAGGTTGCATGGCAGCTGTGTATGGATTAGATCGATGTCCTGGCCAAGCGATCATGTCTATACGTGCACCTACGGGTACTACTTGGTGCCGGCGGCTAGCGGGGGGGGGGGGGGGGGGAAAGCCGCAGTTAGAATGACCCCAGGTGACTATTATGAGTAATCTCCGGCTATCTTTGTTGTGATGGAAAGGTGACCCTGCGAAACCACCGCTCTAGGATCAAAATGAACAAATAACTTCTAAAAGCCGCAGTTAGAATGACCCCAGGTGACTATTATGAGTAATCTCCGGCTATCTTTGTTGTGATGGAAAGGTGACCCTGCGAAACCACCGCTCTAGGATCAAAATGAACAAATAACTTCCAGAAGCCATAAACTTCAGACACTCGTAATGTGGCTTGCCATGTTCATTATCAATATATGTCGTCTACTTTGAACCTGTGGGCATAACTGTACATATTTGTATATTTTGACTTACGAGGGTAGGGTTTCTCTGATAGGATACAACACCAGCCTGTTATAGCCGCTTTCCGTGAAAAAAACACCGGGAAATATCTCCATCACGTAGTTGGAGATTGCCAGTCAACTTATGCTACCCTTCGACTCAATGTTTGATGCGGATAAATTCCGCCACGTAGCGGACTTTTTTGTGTTGATTGGTTTAGTGTGCCGCGTATGCTCACATAAACATCTTCATCGAGCCAGCATCGCTGTATGTAGGCCTTCTTCCTCATTATAAGTCACAGAAGGTTTAGTGGCAGCTGAGACATCAATGAGCATGACGCTTCAACACCAATAACGCTTTGCCCACCATTCTCAACTTGTGTATCAGAAACATGAATTCAGAATGTAAGCACAGTGGTTGAGCTATTTATCCCATCAATCTCCACTCGCCTCCACGTGCGCACATCTGGTGATCCGGAGGCTGCTGTGACAGGATGTGCAGGGGCTGGTATCACCCTAAGTTATCTGGCGGAAGGGTCCTAGCTTGACCGGATACCCGTTGATAGTTGCCTCTGGTAACGCCTGTGAATGCGTCCCACAAGCGGAAAGTTGATCGCTGTCTGTTCGTCGTATCTGCTTACGGCCTTAATGATCGCAGCTCTAGAGACAAGTTTTACGACTCCCTGAATATTCTGTTGTGGTGAGCAAAAGCACAGATATCGTTATGGTTGTTGGAGATCTGAACGCACAAGTGGGCAGCCTTAGCACATCCGAGACTCGATGTTATTCTCCAACGGCATGACGGCTACAATCTCAAATCGATCGAATTGTCACTAATAACCGATGGGGCGGATCTATAACTGACTGCTGTTCGTTCTGAATCCGAGCACGTGCTCATCCGGAATAGATTTTCCCTTCAATCCTGAGGGCCGCGTAAGGTGCGGACAAATCGCTTAACAACTGAGAGACTGGCAGATCCGGATGTTAGACGAATTCACCAGAATCGTCTCCTGGAGTCGTTTCCAACTGCTCCGCCATCAGATGTGAATTAGAAGTGGGGTGAGGTCACCACAGTACTGGGAGTTTTAATTGTGGCACGGCGCTACCTGGCCCACTCCAGCACGATATCAGACTGAACAGTGACTGCTTAAATCTGGAACAAATATCCCCACCGATCCCAAACATAATTCGGGCTGATGAACCATCAGACGTCAGATGAAAGTGAGAGTACGCACCGACCGTGAAGTCTTCTGCACTCGTATAGGTTTCTCAGCCGTGGTAGCACCTAACTGCGAGCATTAAAGCGGGATCGGTGTGGAATTCTGCCCAACAGCTCGAAAGGCTAACGAAGTGGAAAAGCTCCAGAAAGCCGAGAAATCCCGAAGATTGTTTCAGTTGATCCGCACAACCGGGCCCCGGAAACCGCCTGTTAGTGAAGCCATCAAGAATTGGAAAGGAGTGACTATCTTGGACAAACAGAAATGCCTCAACCAGTGGGCCAAATGCTTCAAACAACAGTTATCGTGGCCACCAGCTTGCACTCATCTGGAGCCCACAACAGACGCAGAACCCTGGGCGATGAACGTGGAACCCCCTAAGGCCTTGAAGGTTTATGACTGCATTTGTCTCTTCGAGCGTCACCAAGCTCCTGGTCCGGATGACCTCCCACACGCATCGTTCAAATTGAAGTCCTCAGTCAGCGCTCCCTGATCTGTTTGCTTGCATTTTGGCAAAGGAAACTCCTATACAGCTGCGGCAGTCACGGGGGGATCAGCTTGACCCCGGTCATAACGATGCTGTTGGCGTGAATTGTGCTTCGTCGCCATATGGTGGCTCTAGAGTAGCAAGCAGGATTCCGGCTTGGTTTGGGTTGTGTTGAATAAATCTTCGCACACCATCAGGCAATAGAACAACGTCATACGTATAAAAGACTCAGTTTCAGTATTCCAAGTTGCATTTAACTCGGTTGACACGATTACTCGTCAAGCAGTGCCTCGGAAGTTTGTGAACATAATGAGTTCTTTGTATTCTCAGACTTTCGGGCGTATGGTAGTACACAGAGATCTCTTCAAAAACTTCCGTACATAACGCCCTGTCCGTCAGAAGTGCCCATTTTCTCCATTCCTGTTTTATTCCATGATCAGTGAGATAATGGGACAAACTTTGGGAGCTCTTCAAAGCCTTGGTGTTCAAATAACCTCTGACGAAAGCCTGTCGGTCTAGGGTATGCAGATTACATCGTTCCGGTCTTTGAAAATGTGTTCTTAGATGAACTGACCAAAGTCATCCCATACTTTGAAATGCATTTTGTTCTCACAAAGCGCAAGGTTATGCTCCTGGACATGCAGTCGTTTGACCTGGCAGACGGGTATGAAAGCGAACGAAAAGCCCGGGTGCTATCGGTGCTACTAACCTTCCAGGATGGAGACCGCGTGGTCCCCATTGCGCCTGGTTATAGACGCTGCGAGATATGGCTGCTAATCAATGTCAGTGGGGCTCTTGATTTCAGTTTCTATCCAGATTGCCTGATTTCCTGTCGGGAGGTGTTGGCATCCCGGAGTGATTGGTGGGCTGCTGATAAGTCCATTTCCCATCCATTTCTATCCTTTCCTTCGCAACATGGTTCACAAATAAATCATGGTTGTGCGGCAGCGAAGCATCACTGATGAACAATGATATTATGTTGTTGATAGTGATGATATACCGAATATCATGACACAAGTTTTGTCGTGAATGTCAGCGATTACAGAATCTTTTGAGCGGGGAAATTTTACGGGATCGAAATTATGCAACACCGCTCAGTGAGAACAATACCACACAATATGCTCCTATCGTTCCTCATCGTTAGGTCAGTTCACAACACAGAATATCGATACGACCACTTTTACATTGCATGATTATGGAGTTATCTGCATATTACGTAGAGATAAAAACACCAAAAAGCCGGTTGAATTCGAGTCAGGAACCCATCTGTCAGTAGCCTGCATATTAGGCTCTGAGTTCATAAACGTCCTTAGGGGTACAATGTCGTCGTCGCACTCTCCCCAGCGGTAGCTCGAATTGACGTTATCTTGTCTGGACTAGTTTGGTGTTTACGGCGTCCAAAATTTAGCCAGAACAATATTAGACCATGGTCAGCACATATATTCAAAATGCATCACTGTCTCTTCTGTATCTGTCAAGATCGTGGATCGTTGGACCGGCATTCGATGAAACTTGCTGCTTTCGCTAAGATGCTGAATCTTTTGGCGGTGTGACTGTGTATCTCAGCAACCCACTTAGCTCTACCAGAGGATTTCCGTGCAGCATCCATAGGCAGTCAATGAATGGAGGTCTGACCAACACAGTCTCCTGGCTTCCCAGATTGGAGGTTGGGGACAAGCGTGGAAACCTGTTGCTGAAAAGTTGGACTATCGCGCTAGGTATTACCAAACCACTACAAACCACTGACGATCTCCATCCGATAGACGATGGTGCACTTCTGAAGCTCGAGTACGAGATCCAAGTTTCACAGCTGAGTTTCGGGTACTTACCCTGTCTTGACGGTATCGACTGTAAACTGTAGGCGATTCCTCAACTTCTATCAGTATCTGAATAATTGACCGGGTCTGTTAGGGACATCGAACCAGAAGTACTGAGATAAGCTACATGGTTCTAGGAGAAGGGAAACTCAGTCACGACAAATGAGGTACTCATGCATCACAATTTACGCTGGTTAGGACATGTGTTTTAGTGGTTAATTTTATCTCCCACGCTCTCACACTCTATGATGACCGAAATTGTAGTAGCTAGGAACAACATATCTTTGGTACATGGGTTTACCCGATAAAACGAACTTAACCGAGCGCAAGTCAACTGCTGCAACATGCTGCGCGGATATCCATGTAGCTCCCAGCTACTAGCTACCGACGATGGGGATGGAGATCATAATATGCCCTAGATAAGACGCACAAATAGACTGTTACAGCCATAGGGGTATAAGCTTCATGCTTGTCAGAGCACGGCTATTGATTTCAATATCACTGCATCATTTAAATCCGAGAAGTGGAATGCACATTCGAGAGCGCCAGCTATGATTTCGTCCAAGTTGAATAAGTTGGTCATATATTCACAAGTTTCAGATGTTTGAACGCCACCACACACTACCGAACAATAGTCGCGGTTTTTCACGACTTCAAAGCAGCCTTTGGCTCCGCGGTTTGATCAGTTATTCGACGTACACGTGACCAAACAGGAATACCTTTGGAGTTTCCAAGAACACTTCGTGTCAAAGTCAACAAATAACTAGTGAGGTTCAGCAAGGACGCCTTCTCCTTCCAGGTTTAATTTTTTCGTCATCATCGCTGGATCGGGGATCATCATATCAAAATCACATTCAGAGAAAGGTTAGTGGACTTCGGCTCCGAATCCGATCCCGGCATCCTGACTGCCCCCGTCTAGGCTTGGGCAGCTTTCGTGCTGTATTAGGTGGCACAACAGATACTGAAAGGATGCAACAGCTGGACGAATAATATCCTCTTCTTACTACGCAGTCATCCCTCGTCATTTGATCAACAACATCATTTCAATCGACAGCATAACATCATTGTTCATCAGTGATGCTTCGCTGCCGCACAACCATGTTGTGAACCTTTATTGTGAAGGAAAGGATAAAAGCTGATGGGGAATGAACTTAGCAGCAGCCTACCACAATCATTCCGAGGTGCCAACACCTCCCGACACCCAATCAGGCAACCTGGATAGAAACAAATCACGAGTTCCACTCACATTGATTACCAATCGTATCTTGCAGCATCTCCAACCAGGTGCAGTGAGGACCACGCGGTCCAGACTTTTCGTTCGCTTTCATACCCGTCTCCCAGCTCAAACATTGCCCACCGCTCTGCTTGCACCACTCTGAATTGGGGATAAAAAACGGTACTCTCTTCGAGAAACGATGGTTCGGCATACACAGTACGTGGCATAACCCACACAGCTTCTGGTGCTGGAACATTCTTCAATGGAAGTCTCCGTTGCACAACCGAAAACTCGCTTTCTACTTGCTTCATTACGGATTCTCCTACACACGCTATGGTTGAGACAACGGTCGTTGGTGACCTAAAGACGTCTCAGTTCAGGTGTTCGAGCGAGCCAAGTTTCACAGCCATACGACAAAACGACTCGTACTGTAGCCCGGTACAGCTCAGCTGAATTCCCAGCTTCGACCAGCGCGTCAGTCGCCTAACCACGTACTGGGGTGCATACCGAACCCCTGGTCGACATCTGCCTTTATCCAGGCTCTCGAAATGGTACTCGCAGCGACTTTTGAAAGGATTTTGGACGATTTTTCAGTGACGTTAAAATTTTAGAAATCATTGTATGCAATACTGCGAACTCTCCGCGTTGCAGCTTCAACAGTTTCTTCTAGTGAGAGGGCTCAATTTGGTGAATTAGTGTGTCTGAACACTGCCTTGCTTGCCAAGCTCTTCTGCATCAATCTTCTTGGCATCCGTCTGCTATGTTGTCGGTGTGGCCTGTCAACCTCCCAACGATATTATGCAGCTAGACGACATATCTAATCGGCGTCCTCAGCTAACACTCCTAGCCATTCTCCATTACCAGCGGATCCCCAGCCACGCCATGCAATTGGGCTGTCGATTGTATGCTGAGGGAGGTGTTCAATCTTCTTACGACCATGTGCACAAAAATTTTGCCTTGAACTTTCGTTTTCCCGTAAGTCGACTACGAAGAGCCATCTGAATCAGCTTGTTCGGTTTGTAGTACTTTTCATTATTCTCACCACGAGGAACATCCTGTGGGTCAATTGCTGTAATCAGACCCAAAGACCTTTTCCTAAAGTTCAAAACAGTATTTTGTCCGTCACTACCTGGTATGCGGTTCCCTGTAGAGCGTCCATATCTCCCAGGAGAGCCGCAACCCCAAATCTTTGTGGTGCTTTCTCTTATGGGATTACTGTGTCAGCAGTAGCAATACATGTCCAGAAAAAGCGTTTAGGCACAATACATAACTACCGGCAGCACATAATTCAAACAACTTGGTCCTTATCTCGACTAGTGTGTAATTTGCGTCGGTTTCTCTTGGATTAGCTTTTGACAGCCATCTCCTCTTAATTTACAGCTGATTTCGGATTTGCTCGCTGGTTACAGGACGGCATGATGGCGGTTACAATGTGTGGTTCCCCGATGTACATGGTGAGTTGAAATTAGCTACCCCTTACCTTTTGTCAGTGAGCACAGGTGGTCTTCATGGTTGCATGAAGACTAACAAAACGCCTCAAATAAATTAAGTCAAAGTTTGTCTTCCATCTAACATCCGTTTGTCCTGCGTGCTTAAATTCCACAAGTATACCATTCCAGGGTCCTGTGATGGGAACCCGTTTGTAGGTAACAAATGGACACAGTTTTCTGATTACTGTGAGAATGCGGAATCACAGTTCGCTGATAAGATTGTCATGTTTCGATGTCATGCGAAAGTTATGTGCAAATTATTATCGTAGAGGCTGAAGTCGTGTTTGATTGTCTGCAGGACAACGATCTTACAGCGTAATCCGTCTCCATGGGACTCCGTATGTCTCCGCGTCTGAGACAATGTCGTGGAGCAGATTCTTTTCTTCAACTAACGCGATTATTTGAACAAGCTTTTAAAATCAGTGAGCTCGGGTTGTTGCTTTTACCAGACCCTTAAGTATTGGACTTTGGCCTTCTCAACGATAATTCGAGGCACCTACCACTTTTGTAGAGCATAGACCAAGTGGTTTGAATCGGTAAACTTCACTGACGACTTATACAGCACTTTCCAAAGCATATCAGTGGTATTTTATGGGTGGTGTAGTCCCAGGTTGACAAAATATACATTCCACACCGTCAGAAATGACGAGCGCTATCTCATCTGTGTTTGGGAAGATTACGTATACAGTCACCCCCAAATTCTCTCTAACTCTTGAATCGCCCACTTGCCACTGGGGTAAGTGAGGATACCTCAACTCTAATTATGTTAGTTTGTACTTCCTACTAATTAGACAGCATTTGAGCATACAGATTGAACAACTAGCAGATGATGTGTTCCCCACACCATAGAGCTCGAGATGGCCCAGTGGTTAAGGCGCGAACTTACTGACCGGAAGTTCCATAGTTCGAACCACCATCTCGACCGCTCCTGTCTAGGCTTAGGCAACCTGATGGTATCTTTGTCCTTACGCTTTCTTCGGGTGGTGCAGCAGCTAGGTACCGAAAGGTTGCCACAGCTGGACCATGTTATGTATGTATGGTTTCCACTGGCAGGGTTACTTCGCATTTTCGAGTGGACGTATCTCACTTGGGCTCACACCGTGTCCTGTGATAATTCGTAGGTTTTTGCCTGTATTCTATTCGATTTGTGGCCACAAAAGTGATGAAGTTGGTTTTGAAGCCTTCGATGGTGGCTGCTAGATGGAAGGTCAAACCATTTGAATCACCACCATCCTAACAACTACTGAATGAGCTGAGGGTTTTCGTAAGCGATTTTAGCTTTTGCACACTGGGAATATGTGCCACATTTGTGTCGGTTGTTTGTGAACTACGAATCCTTCCACTCATACCACGTTGTATATCGTTCGGCTGTACCACTCTCTCAATGCCCAGCTTCTCTGCCACGAGACGGAAATCTGAGACACTACCAGATTGCTCAAGCTAGACAGGAGCTGTCGAGATGCACCGATCGGGTTCGAACCATGGACCTTTCTGTCATTAAATGCGCTTGTTAAACACCGAGCTGTCTCTGACACCCACGTTATGTATGATCTTCACTAATTCTGGTGGACCATAACAGGGGGGGACCGTCGTAATCATCTAGTTCTTGAGATCAGTCAATGAACTGGGTTGGCACTACTAAAGGGGCGATAGACAACTTGGATTCAAGACAGTTTCTACTGTATGCTATCGATCCTAGCGTACATTCCCAACAATTACTTTTCTTGGATTACTGTCATTTGCGGAGCAAACCGTTCCATCCACAGGAAGTGATCTCATCACGGAGATGTTCACTTTGTGTGTCATCCACACGACAAATGGAGTTCATTAACTGAAGTATTAAATGACGGCGAGATGTTCTGATACCGTGATTTGGCAACAGTGCCATTCAACACAAACTCATGTCTTAAGTGCTCAGTTGATTAGCATTCACAAACTATTTTGAAGGCCCAACTTGAAGCTGCTTTCATTGTGGTCTGTCAAAATGCCGAGACGTGCCACTTGTTCGCCTTCCTGTACTGTTAGCAAAACTGTCGACGTATTTACCATTTCGAGTATTGATTTACTCATCTGTCCAGTCGTGTCTATAATTCGATTGATGAGCTTAGTACATTTGTTGACGGAATACCTAGTTCTCATCGCTGTTAGTGGTGTGAACCGAAATTCCCTGCACATTCGAAGTGTTAGATGCATATGGTTGTGATTACGCTCGTACATGGAAGGCATGTTCTCTGTTTGTTCCTACGCTAATAGCTATTGTTGTGTATTGAAAATTTGCGAGTGTGTAGGCAGCTGGCTGCTAATGCACTGACCATACCAATACCAGCTATAAATAGTGAATCAATCTCTTGCATCTTAAAAGTCAGCAGGAGCATCATGTTGATGGATATGTTCTAAGGGGCCTGTTGGTTTCCCGTACTCGTGATTGATGTTAAAGTAGAACGTGAACTTGTGGCACCGGAGGTGCTTACTGGTAGGCTGGGAACCCTGCAGGACACCGGATGTAATCGTTGCTTATTGCGTTCGTATCACTTAATCCAGTTGGGTTAAAAGGTTCGTCACATTTGTTGTCTGTGTCCTGCCTTGTTCAGGTCTATCCTGCAGGTTGATCAAGGTATTACATAAGCGCCTTCCAGGCCTTTCTATGTGTGTACGTCCATCATGATACAGACCTTGACAAATGTACTCGTTTGCGTGTCAATTTTGTTGTCACGAGAAACTCAACTGAATCTCTTGCTTATGATATTCTTCAACTGATTGTGCTGCACAGAGTTGGCCACATGTTTCAGTTGACACGATATTCGAGACATCGCAGTATATTTTCATGAAAGGAGACTACTCAAAAGGTTGCTGAAAGCTCTTCGACATCCCACGACCGATTTCGCTCTTCTTTGGGCTCATCAGGTAATCGCTAATTTCGTATAGTTTGGGTTCAAGAAGGGCGTAAGGTTGACGGAAACTCGGGGACTGCGTCTACTTGATGAACCTTAAGAAGGGCGAAAACGGTCACGGGCTGTCGAAGAGCTTCCAGAAACTTTGTGGGTAGCTTCCCTTCAATAAACAGACCTGCTCGTTTACACTGGGACCATCCGCGGCACGTCCGATTTTTTTGACATTTGGTATCTACTGTGGCTAATGGTCTATAGCGAATATTCGAACCGATTGTTATGACAGCGGAGCATCATTTTTGAACATTCATGTTGCGCTATCGATATTGACACTCAGTCCGACCACCCCGGGAAGGAGAATGACTACTGTGCTTTTTCGGGAGACAGATTCCGAGTTATTTTTGTGGCCATCTGTCAGTTCCCTGACATGCAACACATTCCAACTAAAAGCGTGTTATATGGAGCAGTCGAATGTGAAACGGATCCTTCTCGATGTGTTGTTGCATCCCTAAACTCCACTTTCCTCATCGAGATAAACTGTTTTGGGTTATGCTGAAATCTTAGTTTGCGTGATGCACTTTACATCCATTGATTAGATTGTTATATCTGGAAGTTCACCTGCACATGTCCCTCCACAGTGGAATTTGTTTTCAGCACTGGGTTAAACTAATGTATTGCGTCACCATCTTTTTATTTGGAATATTTATCCATTTGTTTCCATAGAGACTTGGATGTCAAGTTATAAGACGGCTTTTGGGGTGACGCCATCTGCTTTGCGTTGTCCAAAGTGAATCAACAGCAGACACGTGAGGTCACAGTCCATGTGTTCTAAGTTGTTCAGGATCCCCCAAAACCAATCACTAGGACAGACACACTATCCGTAACGATGAACGCCCAAACTTAACCTCACCTTCCAGTCTAATTTCTTAAGCGGAGTTTTCCGGCCTGTATGAGCTTAAGGGCAGTTACTTCAGTGGAACATTGCTGAAATTAGGTTGAGGGAGCTTTCAGCGAAGGAAACATTTGATTGAGAACACTGCAGAATCTAAGAGTTAGGATAAGGCTAATTTGTTGATAAAGCACATTGTCGACGAATAATTTCGATGACACTTCCACTGTTTGTTCTAATGACTAACAGTTCCCGGCGTCTTTCATTTTGTCCGTGTGTTTCCAGGCGCCAGAAGTACTCATGTGCCGTGAGTATGATGCACGCGCAGATATCTGGAGCATGGGTGTTATCCTGTACCAGTGTCTCACTGGCAAGGCCCCGTTCTTCGCCAACAACCCGGAACAACTGAAGAATATTTATAGCAGAACGCCCAACTTACGACCACAGTGAGTTGATTTCGACGTTTCGACACCATTCTCAGGTGTATCCAACAAAAGGTTAGCACTCAACCACCAACCCACCGCTACGCACTACTACGCTCCACAATAACGCACTGATGATGGTGATGAGACGTTTGCAATCAAGTTGCCAGCTCAGCGAACAAGCCAACGACCACACTCAGATATTTCGTCCGATAATCTTTTACGAACGCTGCAGACCCTTTCATGTACACTCTAAATCACCAAACAGTTTGGGGCTTAACAGCTTGTCGACTGGTTGCGTAAGGACTGAACGATCTAGAATCAGTGGTTTTAGGATAACGAAACACGAGTAGTCAACTCTTCATGAGGAACTGACATCACTGAACCATTTTTGTACAGACCCGAACTAAAGTTGAGCTGTCAATTTTTGAGTTGATTGAATTTGTGAAACCTTCAAAACCACATTTCTTCACGACAGCTGTTATCTATACTGTGTGTATTTCCCAACATATTTAACATACATTGTGTACCTTGCGGTGTTGCGCTTGTTAATAGATGGACCTGGACATTTGTCCCCTTTTTTCAAATTCCGGTAATCCCTGTTCAATACTAAGTCTCTAGAAAGAGCTCCAGAATTCCCATTTCATGATTCGTCTCTTGAATATTTCATGTTTTTTTCCTATCCTTTATGAGGACGTCCCCGCCCACTATTCCATGTACTTTTTAGAATACCGGCTACAACAAGTGATCCACTTCGCCGACTATTGTTGCACATGTTGATTCGTGAACCAAGAGACAGAATTGACTTTGGTAAGCTGCCACTGAGTTCCGCTTTTTGGTTCTTTCAACTGTTCCTCCTGCACCTCATCAAAACAGAAAGTTGTCGCTTTCTTATATCTGAGATTACATTGAACATTGACTTACTGAAACATCAGGTGTGTAATCGAACATGTTCCTTTTTCAGCTGATATATATTTGGACCTCTCTCCCGATCGCACACCTGAACCCTTTAGCTTCTCACACTGGCTTTCTTGCTTTGTTAGTTGACTGTTGGGTCAGCATGCGGGGACTTCATCTTTCGATCTCATTGTTTTATTTTGCTCCACCGTCATCATCCTTTGTTATCCGTGTCTGATTCAGTAACTGGACCTTTGTACTTACTTTAATTTCTGTTCTTTGTGTTATGTTCTTCCGTTGTTTTCCTTTCCAGCGCATTTCCTCGAACATCCGTTCCTGCATCCAGGACGCCGAGACTCCACGGGTAAGTGCTGCATATCACCTAGATTCGTTGTTACGACACCATATCGCCTCCTTGTTTTCGACAAATACACTCATTTGCCTATCAATTTGCTCTTCAAGAGAGACAACTGAATCTCCCGTTTATGACATTAATATACTAAACGTGTTGCACAAAGGCCGCTTCATGTTTCAGTTGGTACGATTTTCCATGTATCGCAGTATATTTTCAGAAAGAAAACTACGATCATTGTTTTATCCAGTGTTGTTGGCTAAAACTTCTGTTCTCGCACTGTTAAGGCGAGCGACTAGTTCCTCACCGGATAGTCCACAAAATGGCTAATAAAGATTGCTTTGTCTTGTTTTATATCTGTTTCTTTATCAAAGAGTACTGAGTCGAATGTAAAACATCAGACTTCGACAACCTAATCATCCTTCCGAATGATCTTTTTCCCTACAGGACTTTTTTACTACAGATTTCTATGGCTGCAGTACCGTTCGATCAAAACTGTACTTTTCTTAAGAGTTATGTTTATGTGGTATTTTCGTTGTGGTAGCTTTCGTTTGTTTCAGGTATGCAGTATGGATTCGCTGAAATATTTTAGGGACTCACTTATAACTGGCGTTAGTCTGAGGAGATTCCCAATTCCGGTGTTTGTTCTGAAGCGGTACGTATTTGCTGACAGAGCATACGGCCCATAAGGTTGTTGGAAACTCTTCCACAGCCTACTACAAGTTTTGTCTTCCTTGGGGCTCAGGTGGTAGTCGTGGTTGTCGAGTTTCCGCTAACCTTATCTATATGAACACCATATTGCGGGCGCTTGGTGAAGTGCACTCATTTGCAAATTACGCTGTCTGGCGATTTGATGTGCACTTCTCACCTGCATACTGCAAAGTGCTGCCGTAAGACTGGTTAGAAGCGAAACGAAGTTTCATGCTTACATCGAAGTAATCGTAGTTGCATCAGTGTCTGTGTATACGGCCCAGTTGTTGGAAACTCTTCCACAGCCTACTACAAGTTTTGTCTTCCTTGGGGCTCAGGTGGTAGTCGTGGTTGTCGAGTTTCCGCTAACCTTATCTATATGAACACCATATTGCGGGCGCTTGGTGAAGTGCACTCATTTGCAAATTACGCTGTCTGGCGATTTGATGTGCACTTCTCACCTGCATACTGCAAAGTGCTGCCGTAAGACTGGTTAGAAGCGAAACGAAGTTTCATGCTTACATCGAAGTAATCGTAGTTGCATCAGTGTCTGTGTTAGAGCTAAAGACGATATTCCCATCGGGATGGCCAGAACGGTTTTCACTACCCAAAGATGCATCAAGTGTCCTAGCCGAGAGCTCTGTACGGATAGACTCTTTCCTCTGATTTTGTACACCAAGTTGCCTTCCGATTTCCAGTCTTTTCGGTGTTGAGAAATACCCAACAAACGAATCAAATAACTTCGCTTCGGACCTTCATTCACACTTGATGAAGTAATTTCAAGATTCTTAATTTTTTAGCGCCTTGTTCGCTTGTGGGTCCTTTGTCCGGCTCGCTGAAAGTTGGTGCTCATAGAGAAGACAAACACCAAAAGTATTCATTCACACCCAGTTAGTCTCTCTACTTTCGCACATCCACCTTGGTGGAATTGAAATTTGATTTGCAGATTCAGGTTTCCATCCTAGCTTTTGACCAAGAAAATGCATGAAGCTGCTTGTTCGACGGATAACTTTGGTAGACTGCTGCTGCTCATCTCTTCTCGTAAATATTCTTTTGAGTCAGTGTTTTACTGTTTTCCCAAAATACCTGGATACCCTCATTTCGATCATTTGCGGATATGTCGTCTGTATCGAACTTACTCGAGCTTATGCGTGAAGTGGTGTCGTTCATACATACGTTGAGGGGCGTAGTTGAAGTACCTAACGCTGTCAACCACCTATTCATATTGTAATGATGTGTCAACCCGCAGATCAGCTCAACTGATGACATCACTTGCATGCGTTTCGTGCGAGGAAGCTTATGTTCAAACTACCTAATATTAAACACTTTTGAAATTATCGGCTTGTTCAGTCGTTCAGTGGTAACCGTGCGCATTTTTGTCTTATGTCGTATTGCGTGGTCGCCCCAGCCATCCGTTTGAACGCTCAAATAGTTCTTTGATATTGTCAACCGTGTCATTTATCTTGCTCATTCTACTTCGGTTTCCTTTTGTCAATCCACTTTGCGTATACCTCTTCAATTCGGCTCGATTCAATGAATTTTTTTGATTGTTTTTATCCGTCAGTGTCCGCCAAGCCTGGGTTGAAAGGACAGGTCCCACAAACTGGACCGAACAGAATCCGAAGAGAACAGTTACCGTTCAGTTCTTGTTCTCCTGTTACTGGCAATACCCCGGCGATGTCACCAGGACAAGGTACCAGAACAGATGCATTTTATATCGACCCTCGAAAAGCGCCGCTCACACAGGAGCGGATGAAACAGGGTATTCCTCCTAACATCCGAAAAGTAAGTGTTTAGCTGCTTCCGGGCGAAAAATGTCATCTAAATGTCAGAGTATCGATTTCCTATGTTGGCCTTCTGTTGTAGTAAAAACTAGCCATTGACGAAGAATTCAGGATATCTTTCTTCAGCTTTCTGTCTCGCCTATACCACTCACTATTTCGTTGTCTGGATGAACGTCTGTTCGGTACCCACGTTTTGACAGTTCTAGATGTGATAGTTTTTTTGTCACAATCTCCGTTTCCTTATGTTGTTGAACATAAAACCTAACACCGGTATCAATGAGAGTCCCGTGATCTTCACTTGAAATTCACTGTCAGTTGCTTGAAGATTTTCCTGATTTTGCTTGGCTCACGATTTGTCACGTGCACACCCACTATCTTTGTACCGTTTGTTGCGGATCGTTTTCATCATATGCCACTTTAGGGCTGCAATTGTTTTCTTACGAATACTCTTCCCTAATTCAACGTTTCGTTCCTTCATTCCCTTCCGGAGCGACGATTCGCTTTCACCTGAATCACCAGGCCAATCGTTCGAATCAGTATATCGTACTGGTATCTTGGTGGCAGGTTGTATCAGTCGAGTTTAATTGCGCCCCATTGATGTCACGCACTCTGGCCTTTTAGCTGTAGTCAAGTAGTAATTGTACTTAATAGTAGTATCTAGTAAGTACTAAGTACTAGTACTTGGTAGTCATACTTAAATCCAATCACCAACGATAACTACCTGTATATTTCCTGTTATGTTCAAAAGAAGTGCGTTTTTCTTGACGGAACACTACTAAGGTTGCTGGAATATCGTACTTACTGAAAATTGAGGTGGCATATTCAGTTGAAGAATATCGTAAACAAGATTTTCAGCTGAAACTCTGTTGAATCCTCCGTTAACTCCAGCTTGTTTCGTAAACGAGTCTAGTTTCATGATTGTATTTTGTTTTATTGTCTTTTTATTTAAACCGAACACGTACACCATTGTCTACTTGTGGATTCTTTTCAATAGGGTAGGGCCTGTTTACTAATGTGCAAACTTCCCTAATTCAAGCTTGAATACGTCATGATTTCGATGGGAAGATTTTTACGCGCCTCACGTGAGTGCGAAGTAGACAACTTTTATCAAGACAACGTGGTTTACAATCGAACACCACTGTTTTCTGATTATGTACAAAGCAGCTATAATTGTGCTACGCCCAATAGACAGGAGCAAGCCCGTCGCCCAGGTATTATTATCCCGTCGAACTACGTTATCCCGAATACGGACGCTGAAGAAGAATTTTTTCTGCTGGTCATGCCGAATTCAATTGCGAACCTTGGATAAAGAAAAAGCCCACAGGAAGTAATACGTTGGAAGCCAATAACTGGGGTGCACGTTTGTTGCAAATTATGGTGAAGTGGATTATAATTGCTGGAGCAGTGTGGCACTCTTGTTATTTCCAAGCCTATAAGATTGAATCGTCTATGACTCCATAGTCCTTCCCTTTATAGCTCTTTTTCACGGTGAATTAGACGACCAGAGGGTCGTACTGAATCGCCGGAATAAAAACTTATTGGCACAGAGCAGTGGCTGACCAAACGTATGTTGTGTTTGTGTTTGATTTTTCAAATAGGGCTTCCAAGTCCAATATCACTTGCCAGCCAGTTGGGGCTGTGCTATCCTGTTAATAGTTGTTCTTGGTTCCCGAACAATAATAACCTAGCGATATTTCTCCATTGGCCGATTCAAACAAGTGAATTTCATGTTCATCCCAGTTGCTCGTCACAGACGTGACATATGCATCGCATTTTTTTAGAATGTTGTCATATGATCACTTTATACCGATCGATAAAATGATCAGCTGATCTGAAGCCCCAGTTGGTTCACGTGCTTACATCACTAGTCGTAATAGTGAAAAGAATCATTCCTCTCATGAATTTATCTCTGATCGTAGTTTTATGCCAACGCATTTGTCAGTCTTAAGACGTCCTTAAGACGTTCTTAAGACGTCCTTGTTTATCAAGCAAAGTGGTCGACCAAATGTTATCCCTCGAACCGCCATACTTTCGGAGATAACTCGTCCTTTCTTATGGGGACTGTATCCAGGGCCTTCTTTGAGCATAGCTAATATTTGGCGCATTGTTGTGTGATTAGAAGTTTCATCCAAAAGTACCATAATGCCTTCGTTCTCATTTAAACTTTACCAAATGGACCTGTACCACTTACTGGTGACCACATAAAAGCCTTTCACCTACTTGAACTGTCTCAGGTGAAAACGAACCTTCATTGGCAGGTCCTCAATCCAATTTTCATGTCAATGTTTGTACGACTTCTGACTGAGGAAGTCCGATGCCAACCCTACTTGTCCGAACACTGTCCAGTCCCGTTCAAAACGACCCTGGTGACCCGGAATTCCTGTCCGGCGGACATCCGGTACGACCAGGACAGTACGGGCCTTCATTTGGATGCGCATTTCTAATGGCTCAAACATGTGTATCTTCGGACGTGATTTTCCGGTCGCATATGGCTTAGTAGATTTAACACGCGCACCTTCCATGTTAGATGTCTGGGGGGTACACCCCGCGTGATTTAAGGACATCTCTTGTTCTCATAATGGCGAAACTCGAGTTTGGTGCGACCCAACCAAAATAATAGCGTCAGCCCCAAAGGTGGACTGTTCAGGTGTGAGTGATATGCATTCTCAGTATGAAGGCCTTGATCAGCCAACTCAGTCATGTTGGCAGATACCATCTTCTGGTTTATGGGCCCCGGCCGGAGACACTAGGGTCAAAACCACCTGCTGTGACCCCGTTTTTCGGTGGCCAAATGTGACTGAACCTTTATTGGTTCTAACCTACCTCATCGGTATTCATTTCCTAACTGTTCAATCTCCACTACTTTGACTGCCCCTAACTGTGATAGTCGGCTTACATAACATTGTTTCTTTACCTAGATCAGTTGTTTCAACACATTGTTCATCCATCTGAAAGCGTGTTTAGTCTCATTGTTCTCACTTTATCAGAATCAGGGACCACGGCTGTAACTCCTGTCTAGGTAGAAGAAGTTAGTCCTGAGATATCTTTTTTGGTCGCTTTCTTCCGCCCCATACTTGGCGTATTCTATTCTTCCATTCTTCATTACTCCTACCAGGCTCCAGACTCACTACCGCCATCCAATATGGAATTTTTACGTCTAACGCAAACACCGGCCTACCATGACCCAACTGCTATGCATCCAGTGGGTTCCCTCGTTGACGAGTTGGATGATGAAATGTCACGAACTACAGTGGACGACTATATTGAAGATGAATTAGACACTTCCGCTCTGCCTCTTGAACCGGTTCCATATTCATTACCCACCCCGGAATCGTTTCGTCCTTCAGGTGTCCAGCCTCCAACAGCACCACCAGTACCATCTCGCGGCAGTTCAGTTCTACGAATCCCAAATGTAACGCGTAATGTTCCGGCGGCGCAACTCAACCAAGATCGCAATTTGCCGTATGTGCTACAACCTGTGGGAGAAGCTGAACCAGACGAACCACATCTGGATGATTTCATCATTGTGAATCCTAATGGATCAGGTAAAGTCGATTTACAAAACAGTTCGGGCTGTGAGGAGGTCTTAATATGGATTGTCTGGATTACCTATACTGCTGCCATAGGATTTTTGATTAATTCAACCATAGGTTGAAATCTATGCAACGGAGTTTGAGACCCCTGGGTTCCTCTCATTCCCATATTTTTACAAGCGTTCCTTGTTTGAGCTGTGACAACCACTCCCATGCTCATGACAGGTAATTAAGTTCACTTCTTAGCGTGCATTTAATGGACACTGGATCTCAACGCGGTCACTTGCACTCCTTGGGGCGTGATGATACATCGCCTCGGGTACAACAAAGTCCAGTTATAATGTTGATTAAATATCAGTTTACATACTGTTCAGTAAACCGTGGCCGAAAGTCGGTCGGGATATTGAAAAATGGTATCAGAACTTCGGCTTAAATCCAGAACCAGCTTCTTAACTAAGTAACGGAATATTTTCAACAACCATTTGGTTCTCTACATCTGTGTCCACCCTTCATTCCACTAACTCAACTCGAGTTGTCGTCGTCGACTTTATAATCACTGTTCTTTCCGCTTTGAGATGCCATTGATTTACATAGCCAGATGATTCATATCCGCGTTTTTCAGAGGCCGGTCTGCAGGTTCTGATTAAATCACGTTATCCCATCCAATTCAGGAATGAGAATGCATTCCAAATAACTGGAACTGAATTTGCGTATTCCCGAAAGTATCAGAAATTATTGTAACTGCTGTTGCGGTGTCAACCCTATCCGTGCCCACTGGCTTCATAGTGCAAATGCTTGAGCTGTGCCCAGCAATCGAGATCTCCCTCGATGACAGATAGTTTCACTCTTCTATAAAAACTGTTCAGCTGTGGCACTCTTTCGGTGCCTAACTGCCATGCCACCAGAAGGGAGCACGAGGGCTGGTATATTGCCAGGTTGCCCAAGCCTAGACAGGGGAAATCGAGAGGCAGAGGTCGGATTCGAACCACGGACCCTGCGGTCAGTAATTTCGCGCTCTGACCACTTGGACCATCTCGCCCCCTCTCTGCTATACACACTGGGCTGGAGGTAATGCCGTCGAGGTTTACAAATACTCGTTCATTTGCCAACTTCGTATTCGTTTTCTTGTTTCGACAAGAATGGTGTTCGTCTTTTTGGTTGGTTTACCGGGGGACAGCCACTTCAGGTGGTAAAAGTTTACCAAAAGGCTGTATGTATCATTCATGCTTCCCGTTAAAGATCACAATGAACCTTCTGTATGCTATACGCAATTACTGAGGTTCTTCAGAGTAGCCCTGTCTCCGCTTTTTGTTCATTGTCGTCATTGGTGTCACCATAAACCGTGCACTCAAAACGACATGAATTCAGGTGTCAAATCGATATCTGAAGATTATGCGGAAGATATCGTTTTATTATTTGATGATCACTTACCTGCATATTGCACTTCGAACAGAACGCCGCAACTAGTCGTTTTTTTCGGTATGCGTTCATCTTTGATGCCATAATTAAATCTCACTGGAGCCCAACGCCCACGTATGAAAAGTAACGGTGGGGGCATCTTTAATACTCGTTGACATTGGTCTCTTAAATCCGGAGACCCCAAACGCCGTCAAACATTCTACCGTCAGTGTCTTTGTAGTCTAGAGGGCTATCTAGCTGCGACGTATACGCGGCAGAATGGTGCGTTGCGTAACCCAGTACTTGGCACTATGTTGAAATTGCTAGGTTGGCATGTAAATACCTGCAAGTTAACGCAGATGTGTAGTGTACAAAGCCATCACCTATCAAAGGAAGCGTTGCTTTCTATTCCAAACCCCCTTTCTGGAAACGTTTACGAGATATGCGCCATGATACGGCAACGCGAAGTAAGAGCAACTTGCCACACATGAGATCTTTACATTTTCCTGACCAAGGTTCAAATGATTCTGGTTACAGTTACTGGGCCACCTGATAGGACGTCCCACTTAACTTATTCCAGTGGAGCATCTGTTGTCACTTCCTAGTCGAACTATCTGGGGAAAGTTTGTCATGCTCTAGGTGTTTTGGAGGGTCCTAAGAATGTTTGGTCAACCCAGTTCGTGATGCTTTCCTTCCCCAATACTGTTTGAAGGAAGAGTGAGCTATTCAATCCAGAAACCTCTGAAGCCCCTAAAAAAGCGTTCAAACAAACGGTTTTTACACTCCTTATGGGTCTATCCAGCCGTCATTCACAAAAGTCCACTTCAAAGTGATAAATAGCTAGACAGCCTTACTACTACTTCTGAACTTCAACCGTCTGTGTGAATGCTCGTAGACAGCCCTGGGCACACATTAGGTGGGCGAGAAAATCTGGAACATTCAGTCTGACCGTAGGTGCTCTCACCTCGTTTTGTCACCTCGTGACCTGTCCACATCTAGTCCATGGGAAACTGGGATCTGTGGAAGGAACGTCCCATTGGGACATAGTGGATGGATGTGTGCGGCAGGTCCTTCAAACTTAAGGCGCTTCATGCCGTTTTCTGTAGCAGTCAATTCATTAACCATTGGTAGTTTACAAGTGAACCTGGCGCCGCCCCCTAACCGATGATTTGCTATAAGGTCACCGGTTCTCAGACGTTTTCAGGCTCTTTAGTTCTTCGGATCGGATAGCTGCCTACCCCGCCAGCTCTCTCTCTTACCAAAGTCCAGTGTAATATCCGGAAAACCATTGATAGTCGTTCAGCTGTAACACCCTTTCAGTGCCTAGCACGTAAGCTGAGCCACTGCCAGGTCGCCCAAGCCTATACACGGAAAGCCGAGAGGCAGTGTTTGGGTTCGAACCACGGATCTTCCGGTTAGTAAATTCGCGCTTTAACTAATTAGCCATCTCGCCTACAATCGTAACAGGTAGAAATAACTCTTCATTTTGTCTCATTGGGCTTCAGTACTAGTGTAGTTCGGCAGCTCAATATAAGCTCTTTTGAGCCTTCGTTTTTCTCCTTTTCGGTCCTGGTTTTTTCGAGTCAGGTGTAGTTTGTTTACACTTTTTCTTTATCAGTCAGAATCACTTTATGTGCCTCCCGTTTTTTAATATTTCGTCCTCACCAACTCATACCGATATTACTGCGCACAGTTCTGGCAAATAAATCTGTTTTTCTTATCTCCTCTCGTTCTTTAACCAGTAGACCCTTTTCCTCGCAACTTGCGGCCTCCATCCGAAACAGGGTACGTTCGCATTTCCGCTTTATAATGGCACACCCTGCTCATCTACTGTTTCTTAGCTAACCCTAAGCGTACCAGTACTGGCAACTTGGTATATAGTAGTTAGCCTCGAAATCACCTCGAGCCTCACATTAAAACTATTGTCGTGAATTTGATGGGAAGCAATATGTAAGATAGTGGTACCAATGTATTCTAGAAATAAACCCGTACTTTTTCACTGCGTGGCTACGGTTTTGTCAGACGCGAGTGTCTGACAAACACTGTCCACTTTTCAACTACCACACGGACAGTTTTAGGTGCCCACCTCGCTGTAAAAATTGAAAGGCGAGTGCAATAAGTGGCGTGCTGTCTTCGAAGGCAAATCTTAACCAACGGGATGTGTTTTGTCTCATGTTCGAACTTTTCGGATAAGTGTGGTTTCACGGTCCAACATAACTCGGTTACACTCCATCTACTTGTGGGTCACGCTATATCGACATCATTCATCTGTGAAGTCCTTTCACTATATAGCCATCTAACTGTCAAGTTATCAAAACCTAGACAGAAGCCTTGGAAAAAAGCACGATATTTCGGGCCATTTCGAACTCGAATAGCACAATTAATCAGTGGTCCGTTAACTTCATAACTTCGGCCGAAATCTTTTGTTTCCGAGTAGCACGAAACGTAGATTAATGATGCGGCCGTAAGTTGGCTGTTTTGTAAATCCAAAATATAATCATATATGTAGCTGCCACCTCCCTCACAATTCCTGGATGAAACCTCTAGACTTTCTGAGTTCGTTTGAATATCCAAACAATTCAGCTCAGAACGTCCTACTGTATGCATATTTATGTTGCGCCTTACCGAATAGTTTTTCATGTGTTTTAGGACCTGTCCCATGAGCACTGTGGGTCGAATTGTCGCAAATCCAGCAGCTTACCGCGCCAGTCACCCTCGTGTGCCGGTCACGCAATCACCGTTACCTGATGTAGCCACAACTAGTCCCGCTAACCAGCGGCGCCCTAGTATGCTACGAGAGAATCGAACTCACACACCCGCTTGGTTACAAACAGAGGCAAGTTTTCGTGTTTTACAGCATTTAAGAATGTTCTAGTCTCTCACTATGGAACAACATTTCTTAATGACGGTTTTACAGGAATATGACAGGTTATTTGCTGAATTCCAATCGATGTAAAACCCGGTCCCCCTACCTAAACGCAAACCGTCTTGCCGATTTTCGAATTAATCGCATGAATTCACTTTCCAAAACCAATATCTGAAAAGACTTCTTATGTTTCACTTCTTACGTAGAAGTAGATGTACTTCACCAACTACGAAGTGGAATTCCAGCCCAATGGAAATACGAACATCCTAGATGCATAGCATATCTTATTCACCCGATTGTTCTCAATAATAGCGAAACAGTTGTTCCGGTCTGTTTTTATGTTAACATTAGAGTTTAAGGAAGTCAGATGAATAAGCTTCAGTCGATGCTAGCCTGGATTTGCACTCCACACATTTCCGATAGGGGGTATCAATCGTCTTACAGCGATGCAGTTGTTTTCTGGGCTAAACCGGAACTAGTACAGGTGTTGTGATAGCGCCCAACTCTCAAATCTGAAAACATTATATTTGTTCAATTCACTGTTCCAATTGGTGTCTGTCAAATCGCTTACCAAGTCACCCGTCGATCAATGGTGTGGTTTTGTTTACGGACCATTGTGATAGTCCAAGAGATCAAATCTAGTTTAAAAAACTTTTCGACGTAATCCACCGGGTTCCCGGTCAAACTTCGCAGGTTGTTTGTGCTGCGAAATCGGACAGGTTTTGTAGCATCAAGTTGTTTTGTCCTTAACAGAGGTAAATGGAACAGCAATTCTGTGCTGCTGCAGTCACGGTCTTCAGCATTCCGACACATGATCACCGAACGTGATTTTACTTCCTTGATACTGTGTAAAGGGGTCCAGTACGTGCCACTTCCACAGAACTGGCTCATTTGCATCAGTACCTGAATAGTCGCATTCCTTATTCAGCTAGTTTTCCCGAGCAATGTGGAGGGGGCTTGCTTCTGGATTGGAAATTCTCATGTCCTACAGCTTTACTGCTGAGAGTACTACGCTTAACTTTTTGCCTTAGTCTTTGCCTTTAGTCTCATCATTATCAGCTGTAAGAACCGCTACAGTGGTGGTAGCTGCCACAGTTTCGCTCTCCGATGATTTGGGGAGGTGGGATAGGTAGCTGCGCATTGGTGGCGGGAGCGGATAAATTTGTGCGTAAATACAACCCTGTGCTTTTACCACATATTTCCGCAGTCATCTGACACCGAAGTTTTCATTGTATTGTCGTTCTTTGAAAATAAGTTACTTCGTGACCGTGACCATGCGATTGGTGCACGCATGGCGTATTGTGTAGACTGTGCTTAGGCGTGTATTTGTTCTTATCGCTCACAACAACCTAATGGCTGATAAAAAATTTACACGTAGAGCGCAGGGTCGCCGTCACTGTTGAAAACAAGTACGTGTGGATCCACCTCGCTACATTCGTGCGTATTGAAACCCAATGTTTGTTCGATTAAGATACCGAAGAAAAAGCATATCTAAGGATACCGAGTAACTATTTGGTCATTTGTGCGCAACTCACAAGTGGAAAGCTACTCTGCGGACTGTACTTTTGAAGCAATTTTAATGCAGTAGCCATGACGGCCGTAGTTAATAAGATAGGTGCCTATTTCTGACGGTTCACTTCGTCTTCGTGTACTTGAAATTCGCCAGCTGACGATACATATATGCTTACCTATGCATTGTGTCTGCAAGTGCCACAGTTTTGTCCTGCTAGTGCTGTTTTTTCACTACAACTTTCGCGCGCATCATTCCTGTCCACACTTTTTATTCGGTGTTCTTCCAGCCGGAACCCAAGAGGCCGTCTCCAACATCTGCAGAAAGTACGTCTACATATCTGTTAATTACATAGCAGACTACCCTAAACGCCACCCTGTTCCTAGTGCACGTGCCCTTATTATATTACCTGATACCGATGTTTATCACGACAGTCTTCTTCCCTTTGTCGCAGAGCTCAACCGACCTCGGTTTCCTGTGGCAACGGGGCATCTGGATACCACCGCAGGAGAGCCCAGTGTCAGTGCACAATCTCCACTGTATACAGTAACTAATCCAACAGAAGTCCGCCCCCGCACAACCGGTCACCTCCCCACTGGTACGTTCATGTTACTCGCGTCTATCGGTATGATGGTATCCCATTTCACCGATAGACTCTTTTAGTGTTTTCGTTTTGAAGCAACCACATACCCCACGTGTTATATTTCTGATTTCTGCTAGCTCACACATCTTGTAGGCAATCCACTCTTTCGTACTTTGAACCATCGCAGCTTAGAGTTTCTTGGGTAGGTGATGAGACGCTTTTCGGGCACAGCTACACTCATTCGGTGTTCCGCCCTTTTCAATGAAGACATTGTAAAATGCGTTATGCTCTTCTGTGGAGATCCCTTCACTTTATGCTTGTTGTGATTACTTGTGGTCGCAGTAAACGTGCACAGATTCACAGTAGTCTCCAACCAGCATGCTGATTCTCCTTGCATGGGAGAGCTATTCCCGTGTGTCTTATTATACGACCCCCCGCAGACAGCAATTCCGCTCGAGAAAACGCTTGACCGAAAACCAGCTTATGCAAATAGTGCTAACTGTGGATTGCTCTGGTCATCCAAAATCTTCTGTCTCATACCAAGCACATAACTTTGTTGATACGAAAACAACCGTGTGACCTGTGTAGTCCATCCCTCACTGATTAAAGGGGATACTCTTATCCGACCTAGTTCTTCTGGGCCGCGCCTAGTCACCACTAGTCTGCATTAAGTTTTCTCCATAACTCGTTTACGCTGTTGGTATGACTCCCTAGAAACGAAGAAAACCTCGATTCCACGTCATTCCGCTGGCACTACTGAGTGTATTCCGTTAGATTGGAATCAGTTCACCAACGTGGGTGGATTATCTAATAGCCAAATCCCTTTAGAATAAAACCCAACCTTTGTCCATCCACCTCCCTTTTTTCCACCTTCCACTCACAGCGCCCTCCGGTACTCGAAGAACATTGATTTGTAGGAGTGAACAAACGTACGACTGGACGGAATGTGCCATAAATTGATGGTGACAATAGTCACTTTTGATGGTGTGTATCTTACCACTCGGTTAGACATCCTTGCCACCATGTAGTACTATCTGTGCAGACGGTGAAATCCACTCAACACTAAGCGCTAAGAGCTAAGATAATTCAGAAGCTTTCCAAAATGAAAACCCCTTGAGAGTGCATCCTTGGTTGAAACACAAGAGATTGTTGTGAACTATTCTCTCCGCGCACGCCTTTCATTATTATTCAACTCTCGTCCAGAACATTTTCCACCCTCACCACTATTTTGTGCTTGCAATCGTAGACGCACCTTGAAACGATGTAAATCGATGGCAAAAGACTCAGTAGCACTGAACGGTTATCTAATCCCTGGATGAAATCTGCGATTGCTTGGTAAGGTGGAATTTTGACACCTTCCAGTACAGGACTTCATTCCACGTGATCTGATGTTGACTGGCTCCTTAATCACACCTCAAAGCAAGACCCATGTGACCCTTAGTCAAACTTTGGATAGTTCACATTTGATTGCCTCTTTAACTCTACCTTTGGAATGGCCAGTCTGAACTAATCTCACGTAGTCACACGTCCACTTTGAGTGGTTTTCGCGTGACGATCACCGATTGAGAAAAATGGCGGCCAACAAGCGTCTGAGATGAAAGGGAGGGTGGCGGTTGCTCTGGTTTACTTCAGTGTCTCTTTTCATCTACACTGCGTTTAAGTAGACCTTGTATTTCAAGCGTTAGAACTTGTTTGGGTTGACGGTACACTTACAGGTCCCCCACTTCGTGTGGTTTACATTCTCCCCACTAACTGAGTAATGTGAGTCGCAGGACATGAAATATAACTCTGGGCTGCTTATCACGTTCATGTGCTTGGCACTTCTACCTAATCCGAACGCAAGTACCGTTTGATTCGACTAAAGTGATTTCACGTCATTTTGTCACCGAACAACATGCATCCAAACTGGGCGCCCCACAAGAGGTTCGCTCCTTGACTACGCCCATGCATCTAGCGGGCCTATTGTAGTCCGACGGGAGCCTGAAGCTCCTGTATGGAAGAAGTAAAGTCATCCCTTCATTGAAAATTCAATAAAGTACACCTCAATTCATAGGTCCTCCGGTTGTGTCTCACCTAGAAATCGAAGCGACAACTCAGCTGAGGTTAAGGCACCATTTTTCGAATCACAGGTGCGTGCCTCCACCCCACTCTGGTCTTTGGACTTTAGAGGCCTGACTGGACCCAGAAATTGATGATTCCTGAGTTCCTCCCCCACCGTCACCTGCTGGAAGTGTGTCACATCAAACAGTTTGATTTAATTTCCCCTTCTGGATTAATTTGCTTGTTGGTTTGTTCGCCGAAATTGGTGGTTGAATTGCTTTGTACCGGAGCATCGGATTACCCTTACTACTTCTAGTTCAATTTCTTCTCGAACTGTGTCAGCTACTGACTTCGAAACCGCGGAATAGATTTGACGGACGTGTATGAGCGAACACACATTTTGTTATTAGGTAAGGCCCTACTTGGAGTTATGCAGCCGATGAGAAATTTTTCCTCGTTAGTAATGCGAAAAGGCTTGGGAAGATGTTGGAAAATCTGAAATGGTGCTAATGTTCAATGCAGCTGTATCGTAGCAGATCTCTTCAGTTTTGTTATCCCCACCTCGTGCACTGATGTGAATGGATGTACGTTCCTGATTGATTTGCTGCCACCACGTTTGTTTGCTCCATGAGCGAACAGCTTTTTCACGTCGATGTTTAATACTGTCCCTTTTTTATACATAAAAAATCGCCGATAGGTACAACGTAAACGCCACACTGTGTGCTCTCTGAGGTACCACTCCGTAGCAAGCGCCCTCAGCGCATGCGTTGGAACGCAATGTTGCGTGCAAATTCCGTTGAGTCCATGGAAAAGGCCGGCTAACTGCAACGGGTCCTTTGTGACAAGGCCTGCTGTATCCCTGTCAACCATTGGCGAATGTTACCTGGATCGTGTGGTGGCTTCATGCCGGTTTAGGGAGCTTGGTGAAAACCCGGGAAGTTTGCCCACTCTATTGATGGACTGAGATCCAATTGACACGATCGATGAATCTGGGAGCAGAGCAGAGTAAAAGTGTTACAGTCAGCCTTAGCTGGAACCACTTAAACGCAACTTAAGGGGCTTTGCGACAACGGCAACCCCCAAGAGTAGCCCGTTTTATCTGGCAGTGTTTGACCGAGTACGGATAGTAATGCTGTATGGGTAGTGCGGTTTCAATGTCTGAATTGGTTCAACACTATCACCTATAGAGTGCGCCCAGAAATGGGAATACTTTTTTGCGGTATATCGATACACCAGCAGAGTAGACAACATGGACAACGTATTACTGCGGGGGGGGGCTCCTTTCCTATGAGGTTCCTCACGAAGCNCCAGGTAAGGGAAAAAAGTGCACATCTTACTTGTGGGGGGGGGGGGGCTCCTTTCCTATGAGGTTCCTCACGAAGCAGGCTAGGAATTTAAAGGAATTATGCTAAAAACTACCCTGGCACTGTAACGCAAAACAACTTGAGCTGCAGGATCATACGGAAGTATTGAGTTTGAGGGCTTGATTATCCGTGTCAGTTATAGTAATTGAAATGGGGTAACTTGAAAATTAGACATTTGCTACTCAGCTAATGTGGAAAATTTGTTGATATTATTGTTGTCTTACGTCAAAGAGAACCAACGATTTATAATGCAATTCCAATGGCCCACGTCGTCCCTTTTTTGAGAAAATCAGGTAGTTGAGAAAGGTTACTCCTCGGATTCAACAGGAGCTGGTATTTCAAGTTCCAATTTTAACAAAAAAACAATTGACCACGGCCGCCGTAGTATTAAACAGTCTATCATCTGTCACTTAGTACCAGGTAGTATGTCTAGTCGAGATTTTGGGCTTCACTCTATATTTTTGGCCTAATTCACTTGAGAATACCTTCGGGGGGGGGTTCACTAGAGTTTTTGGGCAACAAACAGCTTCCGGTATCCTCAGGGGTGATGTAGAGCCGACCAAACTATAGGCGCGCCCCTTGTTCGAGTTGCCGATCTTCAAGATGTCAGAACGAAGAGTCATTAATCGAAGGGCGATTCGATGAGCGAATATCCCCATCCTTATTTTGACCTCGTGATCTTTTCATTTGTATTTTTACAGAGGTCTCCCATCCTAAGGATTCAGCCTCTGTAATTGTGTGTCCGTGCAATGACAAGCAACTTTTAGGCTACGGTAAAATCTAAGTAGTTGACCTGTCCTCTTACATTTCCTAAGCAATGTCATTGTAGTTCCTCAACTGTTAAACACGTAAAGGTTGCTTACGATGTATTTTTATCACTATGTGGCACACACCCTGTGTGCGAAGATTTTCTAAAGGTCACCAGGGCATTGGTGAAAAAAGTTTTATTACTAATCCATTTTACCGAACACTGTTGTGTGCACACAGCAGCTCATTCAGTTTATCAAACATGGTTGTTTATCCCGTAATTTATCATGAGACAAAGCATTTTCCTGCTAGTAGGTTTATATTCAGGAATTAGGTCGAATACAATTTGCTTCATTCTATCTTTGTGGCTGCTGTCTAAACTTAATCTACCTCGCAATTTTTCGTGAACGGTAGTTTGTTGGGGGTCGGGTGACAGCTATGCACCGAATAGACGACCTAGTTGAATGACCCTCTCTTGCGCTAACGCACTCTTGCTGTATTCCTTTCCGCCCAATTAGATGCTGTCCTTACTAATTCCGGTGAATATCAGATGGCTACTGAGCCCATCCGTCTCAGGCCTCATTCAGGCGGTGGGATTCTGGACTACGGTACGTCTCAGTCTTTTTGGCTCCCCTGATTTTCTTGTTCAACCAATATTACCAAGCTACTCCTTTCCAGGTCCTGATGGATCCGGTGGACATGTTCCCGGTGGCTGGGCAGCTCCTGAGCTCTCTGAAGAACATGTTGATGTGAGTCCAGTATAAAGAAGATCAAAGTATTCTTTTTTATTGATGAATGTGTGCACAATTTTCGAGGCGGTGGGCGTTTATTCCACAATTCGAACCCTGGTCGTCGAAATGAAAGTCCGCTATGTCAACCGAGCTTTTCGTATATGCATACAGGCATTCTTACTCGTTTCATCTGTCGTGGTGTTCTCAAGAGGTTTTTCGATTTACTCAGTGTTCGTGTAGCTGCTAGAGGTTCATACCGCTTATTTTAGCTGTTGCCATGTATTTTTCAGTGCCGATGATCCCTTGCATAACTTCGTTGATTCGTTTCTTCCTTATCCTGCCTCTCAACAATTACATCCTATTCTCAGGCTAAACATAACGAGGAAATCAAAACCATCACCATGGTCCTGGAACTGTGTGAACTTCTCAGTGAGCTGGCTCAACGCCGCGCGTCCGTGCTTGCAGACTGTGCAGTGACAACACCCGCGGCAACTGCCAGTGCCTCCTCCACATCCCTCACACAGGAGGACTCCGATTGCAAGGACGCCCCAGCTGGAACACGTGAGTCAGCCGCTTCAGACGAATCGTCAGCAGCGGATGCTGCAGCTCCAGGAACGACTGGGCTCAAGTTCCTAGCAGAAGACCAGAGGTATGGTCAGCGTACGCTTAGGACAGCCACTTCATTAAACTGATCAATATTTTTCAACCCGTATACTACGAAGACTTTTTACGGTTGTTTTTGATACCACTGCGCAGCCGCTTGGTTCGGATGGTTCGTGCTGACCGTTCGGCTTGAAGAAACTCTAACCTTCATGTCCACCTTACACTCTACTGACCAATGGACGACACGCCAAATTCACTTACTAAGTCAGGCGTAGCCGAATGATAAACAGGCAGGTAGCTACCGTGTTTCTTCCGGCAAAACTAGCGTTTTTTAGTCAAGATTGCTTAGTACGTCGACCAAGCGTGCGATCATCTTACTCATGGTCTTAAGTTATCAAATACTTGTCTCTCCAAATGACCTGATAAAGCAACTGATTGTCTTTATCGTCTAAAATAAATCCTAGATTTTGTTGAAAACGGATTCTTGTCGAGCTTTGGTAGGTAGTTTTTCTTCGTCAAGGTTTTGAAGCACCCTGTCGAGTAACCATTCTTGGTTGTTATCGTGGCCTCATGGTTACTGGTGTCAGTTTTCTGTGCTGTTTGTTGCTGCGGCGTTTCTATCCGTTTAATCAGTGTACCAAATAAATCTATGGCTTAGCGGTTTTTCGGTATTCTTCACCGCTCCAGAATCGTGGAACAAATTGTCCTGTACCGCCGAGTCCTCTACTACTTGGAGTACGTCTTCGTTCAAGTCAAAAAAGCTTTTAACCATGGGCAGCTGCGGTCAACGCCTATTTCGCGCGCAAGTGAGTTCAATAGCTTTCCTAACATCAAGTTATTGAGTATTATATGTGAATGAACATGGCAGATGGCACTATGCTCATAATAGAGTAGATTTCTACAAATTGGTTGGTTTTCATCAATCTGATTTTCCGGTAGGCAAGGCGAACCTCGGACGCAAATGTAGGTAGATGGAGTCTTGGGATTTTGATGCAAAGAAGATCCATTTAGCATCTTTATCGGTCGGTGTTTGTGCCATGATGGCCGCAGTGGCCCAGTCGATGGGATTGTGGATTATTACTTCAGCAACCCGGACACCGCCCAGCTGTATGGCCAGTTGAACATCAGTATTTACTGCAGTGTGTCGCTGTACGTGATGGTAATCTTGTGTGCCTCCAGATTGGCCGATGATCCGCGTCCTTCTTTGTGAACTGACCTGTTGTGAGGAAGAATCCTCAACGAATGTCAGCAATTTGGAATCATGTACGCTAGGTTATGTTCTACTGAGCCCTGCGAAAAATTACATTATCTGACGAAGGCTTCTCGCATCAGCATTCTAGCGCTGCTCCTTATGGTAGACAGATTACTCACCGAATTCGTTCCACTTCTCAAGGAGTACAAAAAGGCACCGAAAACTGAGTGGATATAGCTCATTTTCATATCCCAGTAGAAAAGGATCGTGTAACTTATTTTCGGTTCCCTTCTGCTCTTCGCTGTTTAGGGTCATCCAGGCAGTGTGGATTGGGAATTGACCGAAGCCTAGACAAACCTGATTCACATCTTTTGAAGCTGATCGCATGGCTGATTTCGGGCTGTATGTCCGTTACGAACCAATGTGATGCTTGCCGTTAAGGGTCTCATGCGTCATCAGCTCGGTAGTGAGAAAAACCTATGAAGAAAATAGCTTAGTTTCACTGGACTAAAATCCAGAGTGGTGGGAGATGTGTGCAATGTGTTGTAGTCTGGCGCTTGTTCTTACATATGATATTTGTGTTTATTGTTTGATTTTAGCAAAGGTACACTCTGACTGGGGAGGGGGTAGGTGAAGATTGAGAGCCCTTTCTACAGAGATCTTGACAGCATTCTGATATGCCAACGAAAATCGGTCACTATAGAGGTTGTGGCTGTCGTAGAATGCTTAAGCCCTTGACAGGTCAGGTGCTGCACGGCTAAACCGAAAGCTAAATGAATCGCTCACTGGAGTCCCTTGTGTTTCGGTTGTGAATTGTGCCGCATATGCTTTTGAAGAAACACTTTGTCGACCTTAACGACGCTTTTTCGTAACGTGTCTGACTTCTTTTATAGCTCTGTTGCTGCTCCTTCTTTTAGGATTGAATGATTGTTACAGGCTGTACCAGGTATGCTACATGCGATTGCGAGAGCTGGCTCGTCAATCCCGTCGAGACGATCTCATCGAACCAGTGGGCCGGTTACTATCCAAGATTACAGCCAACAGACTCATCTTTCAGTACGCGCTGCTTCAGGTGGGTGTCACCTGACCACCAGGTTGCAACATTCTTTGATACGGTGCATCTGACTGTTAGGTTTTCAAGCTGTCTTGCTCTTTTTCACAAGTTAACTATTGTGAGATTATCCGTTTTTGAAGTCATCTCTACAGATTGATCGGAATTTCGTGCAAGGAGATATACTGACCCTGCATAGTTGCTTTTAGGATAAAAATGTTTTATCCACAAAGTTTTTGGTTTGTGGACTGTCCAGTGTTCTGTTTCCTAGGAGACTGTCGTCCCCGAGTGTGCCGATACAGTTGGGATTGTCTTAGAATTAACTGTGGTGGTTTTATAAGCCGCCCAAAAGGCCTCCATGATACAGACAGTCCGTGGATTGAACTTCTATTTGTTGTTCCTCCTGTCGAGAATCGGCTATATCCTGTGGATTCCCGAATATGAGATCCAACGGGAAACGGTCCAATCTTGACCGTAGATTTAGATCAACTTCCTGGATGAACGACGTTTGTTTGCTCCACTGAGTGAAAACACAATAAACCTGATTAGCTCATCGTTGACTAGGTCTTCCAGCTCACGCTTCAGTAACTCTGGTCGTTCATATCTGTGAGTGGATTTCTTAGATTTGTACGGTCTAAGTCGTACACGAAATCTTGGACCCTACTCACCGTGAACCGGAGCTCAAGTGATACAGGGACATAACTGCGGCAGCCATACATCGTCGATACAGTCAGTTGATCCCATCAGTACGATTTCCATGGCCCAGCTCACGGGGCACAAGACTTAACCAGCCAGTTTTCACTTCGTGGAATCATACATATTCATTTACTATTCTCTTTGCACTCCACCTATACGTCTACAGACAGTGAAGCCTGTCTGGCTCCAACCACCGTTACCACTTTTCCAACTCAGATGCATTCAGTCAACTAGTTTTTATTTGTTTTTGGTACCAAATCGACTCAGGGGTCCTCACGGGTGTTTTCTGTAAGCTGTGCAACATGTAGGGAGGTAGTATGCTAAAGAGTCAGATCACTCCTCTTCTGTCTTTAACGTGCGTCTGAACCTTTTCATTTCTTGTGCGTTCGCAGTGTCAGGCTGCTGAAATGGATGCGTACGTTGGGGAAATTGCCCAGGTGAGTATTCTTTTCTCAGATTGGAGCTAGTGTGATTTTTTTAATGTTTTTCTGAGCCAAGAGCACTATCGACCTGCAGCAGTTCTTCCTTAGTTTTACTGTAAGTTGTACTTTTGTCTTCTGGAATTTCTTCCAAGTTTTGATCGCACGTTGGCAAGCAGTTTATTTCGTATCACTTGGGCGTTTTTCACTTATTTGTATCTTGAGATAGGAGGAAAGAAGACACATGTCTAGAAGCTCACGACTACTGATTACATTGGTTCAGCTCTATACCGAATCACAACTTGAGTGTTTCTTAGAACCATTGAGTATCTTGCTGACTTAACTGTTTCACCAAGTTGAACGACAAGCCCGGCTCCCCTTCGTTTTTTCATGTTCTCAAACGCAATGTCTCAATATCTGGATTGCTTTATCCATGAATTTAGGCGTTTCTCCGAAGCCCGTTTCTATTGAATGAAATTCGAGAGACCCACTCAGCTTTGTTCCGCTGATTAGGCATATATACGCATGTTTAAACTGATAAATTTGATTGGCGAATCCTCGTAGAATTGAACAGGGCTTGCGCTTAGATCTTGGTTTATTTGAAGCATAGGCCGGCGTTGTGCAATTGGTTGCACTGTTCTACCCCTTTTGTTTCTATTGTGACAATGCGTTACCGGGTTTCATTGCTAGCCTGATATTGTGAAGCATTTATTTCGTCCGATTAGGACGTAACTTGACCTCCGTACTGTGTGTCTTCCCGTCTCAGGCTTTTCAGCGTTACAAAGCCGCGATTACGCTAATTCACGGTTTGCGTCAACACGCCAAGACAGAAAATGACAAAACTTTGCTCGCAGACTGTATGCGAATTCTCCAGAATCGCTATAATTCTTTGAGGATGGCAGCAGCGAAGACCCACCAGAATATTGGTTATTTTGGACGAAGTTCAGCATTCCCTACTGACATCCAAGCTTCCAGTCCGAAATCTGATCGTTCGCCGAACTGTCGTATCCCAACCAGTCCCCCTAATCCGCTTGATCCTGGTTTGAACGACTCGCATATGGGTTGATCCATGCAGAATATTACTCCTTTTACAAAGTCCTCGTATGGTGAATCTGCGTTACTGAGCGACCCTACCGTGATCATTTCGCATGTACCACAGTCAACGGAATCCCTTATGGCTTCTGATATGGGTCCTTCCTTACCTTGTATATATTATAAAATACAGCAGGGCTGATCTGCAGCCAGTCTCCCCACAACCAGACGCATTCACTGGTGTGCTCTAATCATGGCTCACCAAACAGTCATTTTATTATCCCGGGTTCTTATTTTGTCTTCAAACTCCTGGTTTCTATCCCCGTGATCAAACTGATTTGCCTCGCATCTTCGCAGCCCCCTCCCGTACACACAGTCTTTTCTGTTTTATCTTCTCCCCTGTTTTTATTTTTCCAGTTTGTGGACTGTTTATCTACGGCTTTCCTTATCGTACATCATGCGAAGTTGTGATAGACATGGGGCTTCTCATTCGGTTGGAAGGGCAGTGGTTCTATTTCTTGGCTTTGTTTGGCCGAACGTTTTCCTGGTCCAGTGATAGTCTGGTTCGAGTCCTTGGCAGTAGGATTTTATTTTTGTTCAAAACCTAGTTTTAAACCGAAACGGCTATTCTCATCATTTATTCAGCTGTGGTCATACATCACTTTCATACGGATTCTTATCCATTTTTAATACCAGAACGGCTTAGTCATTTATTTGGTGATCGAGTCTTATCTTATATATTACAAATGCTGTACAAAGTTTCTATGGTACGTGCTTTAGAAAATCATCCTATCGGGCTATGTATGTGCTTTAAGAAAACCCAGTGTGGATATTTTCTCAAAGCACTGATAATGTATTTCCTCCTGGTTCTAAATATGTGTATCGGTATGGCGGTCATACACGACTGATAGGAACTGTGAGTAGCAGCATCCCTACACAAACTGAGGCAAACGATCTCAGGCAAACCTGTGTTCAATTCAAATTTATTAGGTGGTACTGCGTCACTTGTTGAGGATCGTCGGAACAGCTAGGAAGTGTCGGATGGTCAACAGTGATTGGAAATAGGTTTTCTCGCTATTGCGTCCCTCCAGCCATTACCATTTGTTTGCGTGTGACAGCAGATAACTCTGCGTCTGGCCGGCTTCCTTAAAGCAGGGCAATTTTTGTGGAATATCTGCGACCCCGATGTGAGGCTACTACTTTGGCTTACTCTGGAGCATACGGGAAATGGTAAAGTAGTTTTTTGCATACCTTGTACAGTCTTGCCACTGGCTTCTATGTTGTTCCTTATCATTAGAATTCCTGGTCACGGAACTCTCATGAGACTTTCCATCTCGTAATTTTAAAAGAGTGCATTTTCTTGGGAATTGTGATCAGTCAAAACTTTGGGAGCCGGAATTACTCTACTCTGTGATATTACAAGTGGGAATTTTATCAGAGGTCCTCACGACTAACTGATTCGATGTCTGGATGGGTGACCTGAAAAAGAGGTCTCTCGTGAGCTCTTAACTGCTTATAAGCAAAGCTTGCCAGGTGTATTAACTCACTGGACGGCAAAACGGTGTACTCCAGATCAATTATCTACTTTTAGAAGAGACGCTGATTGCAAGTAGTTACTCAGAACTACGGCAAAAGCTGTCTGGTGTGATAATATCGATCTCAGCAAAGAATTCATACTGCATCCATCGTTTAGAATAGTCGTCTTCTCAGCAACGCCAGTCTAGATCCATTCCACTGAATGCGTTTCCTTATGCTCAGTTATGCATGGTCTCCAGAACCAGAGGGTTTTTTCTAACCTGAGCAATTTAGTATTTCGCCTATCAGTTCAGTTGTTCGAAACAATCACATTTAGGATGACCGATACTTTCCCCAAAGGAGGTTTGCACATTTTCCAGGAAAGAAAAACTTGAAGACGCTGTTTGGTATGAGTAACGGGAGTCTGTTAGTCATTGACTGAAACAGACTTTTCGTTTCTGTTTCACAGCCAAAGGTACGAGCTGTTGGGTTTCTTTCAAGCTACAGTCGACACAGTAAAACAGCTCGCTCGCAAAAGTTATTGATCTGCTTATCCCGTAACTGACCTCATCCCCACTTTTGTAATAAGGCCATTCAGTATTGTCTCTTACAACGCCATTTCGCATATTAATATACTTGCGGTACAATAGTTATAACTACCACAATCTCGTTCGCCCATGATTTGAAGAAGTGAGGTAGATAGCTGCACATCGGAGATAACAGATGGTGGAATTGACACATGAGGTTTTCCATTAGTACCTGAAGAAAATACCTGAACTGCTGACTAGTCGTGAGCCGTACAGTCTGTTTAGCATGGAGTGGATAAAAAGCGTTTATGCTACAAGTGTAAGTGCTTACGACAGGAGTACGCATGTTAGTTGGGTAAGCAATGGAATGGGAATGTCAACACAAAATCTATGGAGTCTGACTCTTCCATCGGTTTTTTTGCGACCAAAAGTAATAGATGTGCACTAATTTCTATTATAGGTAGGGAACTGATCATTTGTCGGGAGTTATACGTGACTTGACTGACCGCTCGGATTCACCGAGCGGAAATGGGTGTTAAGTCATAGTCAACAACTACAACAATGGTGCGCACCTGTGGACACCTGTTGTGTTCCGACAGGTTTCTGTGGAAAGATCCACTCCATAATGTCACTGGCGTTAGCAACACCGAGGGTAATAGTCCCCGTAATTCCAGATTGTGTACATCGTGGAAAAAAATTGGCCTCCATCGTAGACTCCTACAATATTTTGTACTGCGCTTCTGCATGTAAGCAAACTTCCCATACTCGAGTGTGATTCACTACTTTCATGGCAGCTACTAAGCAAAGCTACGGCATGAATGGTTGACAATTCTATCTGTGACCTTGTTTCACGCGCCAGATAAGGCCAACTACTCATCCATAACGAGTCAAGACAGGACAAGTGGCCGTTAGCAAGTAGTTGAGCGCTCTTCACTCCATCTTTTCAATCTGAATAGACAATACGGTAGCTCCAACGATGGCGCGTCCACGAAGCCGTTTGCTTTCTTCAAAAGGTTGATCACGCGCGTTATACCGAACCAGGTTTCATGCATACATTCATGAACATGACACAGGTCAAACCTGAGAATGTATGAAGAAACAATATTCCTGAAGTGAGTGCGACAAAATGCCTACTCTCTAATCTAGGGATGATCATGCAACGGCTTCTTCAAATAGTAGAACCTACGCAAAGTTCCATACTTCTGAACATTTTTCCTGGAGTATCCACGATGCATTCATTTAGCGATCCTTCCTATTTGCTGAATCGCGTGTAAACTTGCAGTGGCTGAAAAATCAAAGTTTCTCATTAATTCATTGTATTCTAGTTCAGTTTTTCGCAAAATCTGCAGTTAATCAGCAGTCAAAATTATAAACAGTTCGGGTGCTCCCTAGTGGAATTTCGTATAACGGAGGAATACTTAAATAATGTGTTGTTATGGACCATGTGTGTCTGACAGAACGTGGACAAATACATGAACCATGACTAGACAAAATGTAGCGCTGGATGTTTTCAGCCACGCCTACGTTTTCACTTGACAGTTACATGGACGCTGCCTTCAGATTCTCCAGCTCTTGAAGTGTTGTTTATCTTGAAACGGTCGGTGTTGTTTGTTTCCCGAAAGCTCTGTCACCCCAACTGGCCTTCCTCGTCAATCAGTCCACAACAGTTTTGAGCCAGATCAACTAAATATTGTTGGGTCTTCGAAATTCATTGAACTAATGGAAACATTGATACCCTGTGGGTCCACACAATCCATAAAGATGCTTAATTGACACTGGTCACTACACTGATTAATGGTCTGGATCAGGATGATTACCTTGGACTTAATCTCTTCAACGACCGCTAATCGTCACATGCTTTGTGGGGAGCCATCACCTGTTTGTTGCTCGTGGCTCCCAAACTACCTGGTATGAGCTCCTATGAAGGAAGTTTGTATCAGCTAGGAAGACGGAATTATCAGGACATCATTGAGGAAGTAGGTTCGTGTAGCATCTGGCATGAAATTGACCATCTGAATACGCCGCTTATTCGACCGACTAAAACACCCATAAAACAGTAGCTGGTAGTAACTCTAAAGCCTTCTGACAGCTGTGAGAACGTACGCCGATAACCGCCGTTCATGATGTCGATTTGTATTTTGCGTAACTGTTTCCCATTTTACTTTCAGATTATCATCATAACTTCGAAAGCGTCTGATTTTTAGCTTTCTTCCAAATCGCATCGTCGTCCAAACTGTGCACACTAATTTCCAATGGATGCACTCGCTCCTCATTCTTTTTCCGAAGAATAGAAAGCCATTTTATTAGGGTTTTTCGGGAAGTAGAAGTTTCTGTAAAATGCTACATGGGCCAAGGTAAACTCAAAATGTTTTCCATTCATTGATTGGTATAATGCACAACAGCTTGAAGTTTCTTAGCAGTAGGCACTTGACCATGGTATGAACTTAGACGTAAAGCGCTATCCATAAGGGTGTGCCCCAGCGAATAAATTGAAATCGTCCACCTCTGAAATCACAACACATGCCCCCCCCCCACCAAAGGAAGGTGTTCCCAAGACTATCCACATATCTCGAACCCTCAACTACCGCAGGCGAAGTACAAGCAACTGATCCATCCCATGAAATAGACATTCAGCCGTTCTGTTTAGTCAGACAGAAAATGCAACGAAAGGCACTACTGCACTAACTGGAAAATTTTGAAAGTTCTGTCTAGCTTCCCCGTATTGTGTCCATCAGATTTGTATGAACGTTTGCTGACACACCGTTAAAGACGCAGCCAAATGATTTGATAAATTCGGTCTTTTCTTTGGCAGCGCAGTTTGGGATGTGCTATAATTCGCACAGACCAACAGAACCATGCTGATTTGCTTTTTGTCCATGCGCATTAAAATGGCCTGATGGCACTTTGTAACAGTGAAGTAGAAGACAGTACGCTTCCAAGAAGTGCGGGTTTTTGTCCATCAAGATGGTGCGCACTGCTCGGAGGGGGCACTATATCCTAATTATTTTGTTCACTGCGCCACAGTTCCTTAAATCCTGGGCTCGTGTTTGAAGAATCTAACGGAAGTGAATGGTGTCATGTTTTGGTTCAAGCAGTGTTGGGATACCGCGCTATTCAGTAATACTAGATAGAACTTATGAAAGGACCATCTTTCCCCAGTAAAACGCTGTAAGTAAAGTCTTTCGGGCAGGAGTTATTGGTGACATACTTCTCTCTGGTGATTCAAAGTATGGTTGTATCTCATCCCTTTATCCACTCCAGGACGATCGGGCACGATACGCACTTTGACTCTTGCTAGATTGGGATGAACAGTCAGCTGATCAGTGCCTTATGCCAGAAAGTCTTTGTGATTTTCATTCATTCTCTTCTTCAACAAAGTAGTTCGTTCTGCATAACTTATACTGCGCTTTTTTTGTTGGTCATAATGGCCTTATCTAGCTTTTATGCTGGTAACCTAGGGTCTTCCCCCATGCCACCTATTGCCCTCAACTTGCGGGGAAAACGATTCAGCTGTGTGGTTCTGGGTTTCGGGTCTTCAAGGACAAACAGAGGGCTTCCAGTGCGGAACTGAGGTCCCGAGGTCACGTGCGTTTCAGTGAAAACACCGTTTATGGACAAAACTTTAAAACCCAATGGATACACCTTGGGACGGTACGGAACAAAAGTCAAGCAAACAACACTAACATGGTTAAACTATGGCCAAGCCGGTCAGATTGGCAATCAACTAATATGTTTCAATCGAGGCTTTTCAACGGAAGAAGCTAACCGAAAATATGCCAAAGGCACATTGCTGGTTTCCAATATCCTTTGACAGCTCTGTTGAAGTTAGCCTTCATTTAAATTTGAATATCATACTTCGACGAATTTGCGATCTCACTTCAACGAAGAAAGGCACCGACATTTTACGGATTTCGAATAAGCATGAAATTTAAAGTTCAAAGTTCGGTGTTGTCAGACCCTGTGTTTGGATTAAGTATAGATTTTTACAGCACCACCATGCCCTTACTATTGACAAAGCCGTGACATTTGCGCCAGGATGCACACATAATGAATGAATACTGTGGGACATGTTTGTGTGCGTTGATCAGCTGTGGTCATGTTAGTATTTAAGCGCGACGTGATCAGTCTGACACCGCTGACAGTTTTGTTATGTACATATCCATCCTCGTCGCTCACCACCGATTGGATGGCAAACGAAAATCACAGAGGTATCACTTGTTGCAAACGGTACAGCAGCAAGCCCCATGTTCATGTAGTCGCTATTCACATATCAGCTGGGGCTAGTTGGCCGTGGTTCAGACTTTCAAAACAGAAAACACGAATTACCTGAACGAACAACGAGGGAGTTGTCTCAGGCCCCAGTGGTAGTCAGCATTCTGCGTGAAACTGGCTGTCCCGTTTGTGATTTACTTTCTCAGAAAAATCCACCCTTGTTCAAACATCGAACTTTGAGTGGAAGGCAAAGTTTCGTGTTCACGTCGATTGATGGTTCACTGACAAGTGCTGGTTACCATAACTGAAGTACTAAAACTGTCATATATTGGAGAAATCCCGTCAATTTTATCCTCTTGTTCCTAGTCAGTCACGCTGCTGACGGATTGTCCAGCTGATCATAGTCCTCGAAAGAGATGGCAACGAACAACATTCTTACTCAAACTAGAACAATTTCGTGTCGTTAAATCTTAGTTGTTCTCCGAACGAAGTCTTCTGCTTATGTAAACACTAAAGTCTCGTGGACCTTGGACGAGGGTAAGACACTCACCATTGTGTACCTCACTATTCGGTCATCTTGAAAAACCCTTTGTTGATTCCCCCTGTGAATCAACGGTGAACAAGGGTAACTTTCCTCGTTTTCTGACTACTCACGAGTAACATGACTTACATCTGTTTATTATGACACCGTTTCGTTTTCCCCCCGCTTTGTTCCCACTTAAGGTCTGCTTATCCCTCAGTAAGTGATGTCAATATTTGTTGCCCGTCTGTTATTGCCTGCAAGTTCGCCTCGATTGCACCTATTTTTTGAGCGCCCACTCCGACGGAGAATCGAGCTGACCGGGTATCGAACCCAGATTCTCCGGACGGCAGGCGAACGCGCTACCGACTACACCGACCCGACACCCGGAGCGGCTGATTATTTGTATTACCTATGTATCACGCCTGCCAGATAGCCCCTGCTGAGCTTTGTTTTAAACGGCCGAAACCGCGCAATCTGACCTGTCGCGCAACACGAGCGGCTGCGTCGACGCC